GCCGGGCACAGGACGCGCTCCGGCAGGCACAGCGGGCCGAGCAGACAGCGCCCTGCAGCCTCCAAACTGACTGTGACTCAGCGTATCCATGATCCAAAGCCCCCCCAGCCCTCTGCAGCGGCCCAGACTCGCCAGCCTAAAGCATGACGCCATCGCCGGCCATGGCACCCCTACCCCCCCTGCCGGGAGCAGAACAGAAAAGTCCTTGCCCGCCGGGCTTCCTGTCTCTCTGAGGGAGGCTCACTGGGGGCGCAGAGGCAGCGTGCGGTACGGAGTCACCTGCGTGACATACAGAGCCACGTGTGGTAGGAAAGTACAGTGCTCCTCACACACCCCGTGGGGCTTTACAGAACCACCAGCCGCCGTTCACGGCACCCCAGGGTGGGGTCGGGAACCAAGGCGGCCTGGAGCAGGGTCAGGCAGCGCTGCCCTGGGCCTCTGAGGCCTCAGAGGACGTGGCTGCCGGCTCCGTCCGGGAGGGCATCCGGGAGGGCATCCGGGTGGGCCAGAGCACAAAGTAGGCCCACCCGTTCTCGATGCACGTCTGGGCCACTTGCCGTCAAATCATACCAAGTTATTTCATGAGCACACCAAACATGTATTTTAATTTTCTCAATATTTTATTCTTCCCAACTGCATCAAGTTTCGAGGCGTTTTACATAGCAGGTCCTGTGACACCCAAGCCCTGGACAGCTGCTGCTTAGCCAGCTGTGTTCTGGGGGCTAGGGGGGACCTCTGTCCAGGGCGTGACCTGGTACTATTACAGGTAACAGCTAACCCTGTCTCAAGGGAGATGAGAGCATGATATGTGTGAGCAGACCTGCTGGCCACGCCTCCACCAGGGCAGCAGGAGGGCCTGTGGGGAGGGCACTGTAGACAGAGTCGGCCTGGGGACCGCTCATCAGTCACAGCTGCAGCAAGGCCAGCTTGCCCCAAGCCACACCCTCATCTGACCCCTGAACGCCTGGGTACTGGAGGCCACCCCCTCAGCTGACCGGTCCTTGCCACTAGGCCTCAGCCTGTGAGCAAGAAGGAGGCTCACTGAACCTTGAATCAAAAGACGAGGTTTTGCCCCATTCGGTCACTCACCGGCTGTGAGGATCTCGGGAGGCCCAGGCCTCGCCCAGAAAGTGTAACAGTGGATCAGGGTCTCCAACACATGCTCCAATGGCAGGCTCTGGGGGGCTCTGAGTGCCCTTGGCAGCGTGAAGGAACCCCCTTCGGGGCTGGAAGGGCCATCTCTAGCCCTGGACGAACAGCTGAGCAGTGAGGTATCATGAAGACTCCCCCTCCAGGCCACACCTGGGCTGCGGCATCCCCTCCTGGCCCACTGCCTCGTGGGCCCTCTGAGACCCAGAGCCATCACCCACAGCAGAGGAAGAGGGGCTGACAAGCCACACGGGGTCCTTCCAGCTCTCCCCGTAGCCCCACAGAACCAGCTTTTTCAACAATCTGGAGAGAGAACCAGGCTCTGTGATGGAGAGGACAAGCATGTATGTGTGCAGGTGCATGTACATGCATGTGTGTGTGCATGCATATTGGTGTGTGTGTGCACATAAGCATGTATATGCTATGTATGTGTGCATGCACTGATATGTGTCCGCATGCACGCGTATGCCCGCGTGCACATGCACTGGTGTATGTGTGTGTGGTGTGTGCGCATGTACATGTATGCCCGTGTGTGTGTGCACCAATGTGCATGCATGTGTGCATGCACACTGATGTATGCCTGCATATGTTCACATGTGCACGTGTGCACAGAGGTACATATACATGTGTGTGCACTAATGCATACATGCATGTGCTATACTGTGCATGCATGCCCACATGTGTATGTGCTGGTGTGCACATGCACAGCGATATGCATGCATGCATGCATGTGTGCATGCATCGATGTGTGTGCATGCACATGCATGCAAACTACATGTGAATACATGTGTGCATTGGTGTGTGCGAGTGTGCATGCCAATGTGCATGCATGTATATCTCCGCGTGTGTGTATGCCCACGTGTGCATGTGCTAGTGTGTGCATGTATATGTGTATGTACATGTATGTTGTGTGCGCTGGTGTGTGCATGTGTCTATGCATGCTGGTGTGTGTACGTGCATGTGTGTGCACTGCTGTCTGCATGTCGCGTGTGCACACTGGCGTGTGCGTGAATGTCGTGTGTGCGCTGGTGTGTGCACGCACACATGTGCACACTGCGCGCGTACATGTGAGCATGCAGTGATGTGTGTGTGTGTATGTGTGCGTGTGCACAGGTCTGCTTTCGGACGGGGCGCGCAGTGGGGGGGGCGGGGCTCTTGGGGATATGCATGCATGCATGTATGTCCGGGGCCTGTTTCTGGAAGGGAGTCAGTGTCACTCCTTCTAGGTTTCCTTCCAGGACTCCCCCCGCTCCTTCTTTTAGAGGAAAACAGGTGTACCCTGAAAAACAAGTTCTGCTGAAATTCAAAACTATCTTAGAGGTCTCGCATTTGAACCCTGAAGACTCCGCAGCAGCAGCGGCCGCAGCCGGAGGGCCCTGGCCACAGCTTCACCTAGAAACAAGCCTGCCTGGCACGAGACCCCCTTCCCACCAGCCTAGGCCCGCCAGCATCCCAGGGTGACCCACACCGCCGATGCGGGGCCACAGGGTCTTGGCTGGGTCTTGCTCAAGCCCAATCCCTGCGGCCACCCCTGGGGGGGGGCAGGGACCACGCTTGGCCATGGGTGGCCCAGAGACAGAGGGCTGAGGGGCAAGGAGAGCCGACAGACCCAAATGCTGAGGTCGCGAGTGGGAGAGACCAGGCTGGAGGCTGTCCTCCGTCCCCAGCCCACTCTGTGTTGACGGCCACTTTAACACGGGTAACTCCACACACTGCCACCAGCAGGGGGGCCACCTCCACCGGTTTCCCGTCGGGGAGGAAACGCACAGACTGCCACTCGCCAGCATCAGAATGGCAGCGACCTGTCCCCACACGAAACAGGACTTTTTTTTTTTTTTTTGGTCAAGTCGAGCACAGACAGGCATGAAAAAATGCATCATTTTGGTCAGAAAAACGTGCAAATCAGCAAACTGGGTTTCAAGCCTTTGCTTCCCGTGGGTGATTTTTAAGGTTTTCTGGAACAAGCAGCCCCTGCTAAGTCAGGATTTCATACACATTAGTTCGCTCCAGTAACACCTGCCCAGGTAATTATCCCAACTCAAGGTCCCAGTGGGACCTGCTCTTCCCCGTGAGGAAAGGGTGGGGGAGGGGTGGGAGTGGGGAGCACAAAGCCCACGGCAGCCCCGACCTGCGGCCGGATAAAAACCCACGCCATTTTCCCGTCTTCGCCACCCCCTACTCTGAAGTCCACATTGTGGGGATCGACCACCCTACTGTCAGACCCCGCCGCCAAAGCCGGACCGCCTGGCGTTCTCCTTTGCTGGGCGGCTGCAAGCAATAGCCTGGTTCCCTCTCCTGGGGAACAATGTTTCCTGCGCCGGGGCTGCGCGCTGCCCGTCGTCGCTTTTCTCCCCCTTAAGTGAGTGGCTTCAGGTTTACAAACTCCTGCTGGAGCAGCCCAAGCCCCAGCCTGCGCTTGTCCTTGTCCTGGGTGAGCGGGGCATACAGCTCCTGAAGCCATGATTAGCCGCCCCAGGTAGCCCTGGGCGGTCAGTGAGAAGCCAGAGGCCCACAGAACCATGGAAGAGCAAAAGGGTAGCTAAGCGCCCCCCCTGGAGTTAACACGAACCAACGGGGTTATCTGCGGCCCACAGACGCAGGTTTACGAGGTGCTTACTTTTAAAGGTCGGTGCTATTTAACTTGTGACTAAGCCCATTGGAAACAGTGAAACAAATTACTCTCTCCCTAGAACGACTTCCCGCCAGTCCGGCCCCCCTCCCTCGCCAGCTGTGCTAAGCAGGTGTGCCGCGATCTGCTGCTTTCGGGGGACGCGAGGAGACGGCTGAGGAGCGTCTGCTCCCGGCGCTGTGCTCGGACCAGCGGGGACAGAACACCGGACTCTCTGGGGCAGGGGATGCCCTGGGCCCGGCATCCCCCAGCCGCCCGCTCCCGTGTCATTGTTGGGCGTGTCCGGACGAAGACTTGGCGGCCGCGTGGTCAGGAACGAGGTCCCAGGAGCTGGTGGCGGAGGGAGTTTTCGCGCGGCTGGAACGGCCCCCGCGGCACGGTTTGTGGTGCACGCGGGAAAAGCAGCGGGCGCGGCCAAACAACGGACTTCTGCGCATTGTTCTCCCGCTGCCGCTGCGGGCGCTCGGCCTCATCAAAGCGACCGCGCGCAACCCGACACCGCGGCGACCGCGGGGACCTGAGGCCTGGCGGCCCCCGCGGCGCACAAAGACTGGCCTTGGGGATCCCAGGCAGCTTTGCCTCGACAGGCTGGAGACTAAGTGGCAGCGCTCCGCACTGAGTCCTCCCGGAAAGCGGCTGGACGCACGCGGGGTCACTCCCGGGGTCCGGAGGCGCGACCCCACGGCGGCCGCTCAGGAGCTGGGAGGGACGAGGCCAATGACGGCGACACAGGCCGGGCGAGGGGACGGCGGATGCGCGGCGTCTCCGGAGCCACCGCTCGTGAGCCACCGCCACCACTACCACAGCCCCTGCCCCTCGCTGGCCCTCGGCCCGCAGCGCGGACAGCACCAACTTCCATGCTGAGTCGCCGAAGTCTGGTCGCGACGCGAGGGGCTCACGGCGCTGACGGCCCGCACCACCCTCCAGCCCAGCCCACGCCCCGGACCCCGCGACGCGTCCGGGCGGCGCGAACCCCCGCAGCCGAAGAATGAATGGCCGGCGCGGGACACCTGGGACACAGGGCCGCAGGCCCACCCCGCCCCCGCTCTGTCCGCCGCCCGCGAGCCACCTGCGCGCGTGGGCAGAGCAGGGGCTGGTTTCCGGGACCGAAGCCGAGATGGGCTGGGGGTGAGGAGGCCGCCGGGCCCCCGCGCAGACCCGCACAAAGCGCCGGAGGCCGGGCGGCCCGGCGCGCGCACTTTCGCGTTCCCGCCGGTCTTACCTGGCTCTGCCAAGGCCCCGCGGACCCCGAGCAGCAGGACCAGGGGCGCTAGCACGTCCAGGAGGTGCCGCCGTGGCGGCTGCAGCCAGGGCC